GGTTTAGGGTTTAGGGTTTGAGGAGATTCAGGGCTTAGTGCATTGCAGTCCCTGCTCAAAAAAAGAGGGTTTAGGGTTTAGGGTTTAGGGATCCTTAGACTAAGGATCCAATGATCTAGGTCCCTTTAAGGGGATCCTTCTTGCCGAAGCTTCTATTATTCTATTCTAACATTAGCGTTTTGAGCGTCATGATCTAGTGGCCGTAATAATGTGAATAATAGGACTTTGGGGTGTTATGATACTATAGTTATAAAAATGAGCCCCACAATAGTATTGGTCTTTATTTCGGCCCCTGTATTAGGCTTCTTGTACCTGTAGGATGTATAGGGCTTAGGTTCAGGCGCAATGCCCAGTGCCTTTCGTCCCAACCATTCTGAGAACGCGCGTTCAGAAACCCAAGACCCTTGACCCCAAACTATCCTCAACCCTCAACCCCCTGAAAATTCACATCAATATTTAGAACTGGAGACCTTTGGACTCTAAACCCCTAATCCGTTAAACCCTAAACCCCTAAACATGTATAGACCCTAAACCCGTTAGACCCTAAACTCTCAGACCCCGAAACCCCAAACCCTCAACCCTAAACCTTTCGGTACTAAACTCTAAACCCCGATACCCTAAACCCCGATACTCTTAGACCCTAAAATCCAAACCCCGAAACCCTCAACCCTCAACCCCGAAACCCTTAGACCCTACAATCCCTTAGACCTTAAACTCTAAACCCCGAAGCCCCTAAACCCTAAACCCCGGAAGCCCCAGCCCCCCTACAAATTCCCTTTACAGGAACCCTTATTGCCCCTGGGAAGCTTCAACACTCCGCGACACTTCGCAGGAGCGCGCGATGTTCGTAGCGGCTTTCCTTGGCCTCAGCTCCTGGACCATCCTTGCACCTCGTGCTCATTTGGGTCCGCATCTTGGGGCTTATGGGTTGGGCTTAGGGTTTAGGGTGTAGGGGCCTTAACAATCAGAATAGGGTCTTGGGAGTTCCTTGTCATAATTATAGTATACTATACCCCAAAGCCCTATTCTCATTTTTAAGGCCCCTATATCAGGTTCATGGCTTAGGGTTTGGGAAGCTCCATGGTTCAGGGTTTAGGGTTCAAGGTTTATAGGGTTTGAGGGAGCTTCTGCACATAGTCTTTAAAGGGCCCCCCAAGAGGCCCAATAAATGTAACTCTAACATAAGAAGCCACCTTTCGGGAGTTTCATGTGGGAGTCGACTCTTTGATTGGCTTGACTGGGCAACTGTGCCACCACAGGCAAAGCTTATCGGACCCTAAACCCTAAACCC